GACTTTCCTTGCCAAAACCTCTCCAGTATTTTCCAAAGTAGGAGTGAATGGGGCACAATGGATGGAAAAGGAATATAAAAAAAGGGCTGGAAGAGAAAATATAAAAATATGTGAACTATAATAAGAATAAGTAAGGCCGAAAGTGCAACTTGTCTTTGTCATTGGCCAGAGGTAACTGCAAAGGAATAGTATCTCACTGAAACACTGAAGCACCAATTAAATGAAGCTCCTACACTTGGGAGACATACAGAAATAACAGAGAACAACCAAACAATGTAGCAATGTTTAATACATTAAAGTGCTGTGCACAGTTTGTTTGAAGTTCTCACTGTAAATAGTAAAGGATTTACAGATTATGTTGAAGTCCTAAATTTTTATGTAAAGGATGATTGTATGAGAGTTCAATTTTTAGTAAAAAATAAACACATTATTATAGTTCTGTTAGTAGTCTGAACTATAGTCTTTGTAAACATGAGTTATGACAATGTGCAACATATACTCTTTTATTATATCTATTATTTATCTATTTATCCATTATAATTTCATGAAGTTTAAGCTCTGAGAGGGCTTATCTAATCATCTAATTTCACAAACAATTTTCATCCAAGTTAGCCATGTCGAATCCAATAAATGTAGTTAACGTACATCAGCCTCAGAAGACACTAACTTTCAACCCACGCCTGGGATCATGGCAGAGAAGTAGGGATGCGAGATGCTCAGACAACACAAGCAGATGTAGAAGGAAGTGAAAAAAACACCTATATACACACTGAAAATTAAAGGTGGTTGTCAGCTACAATTGAGATCAACTGGCAGTAACACCATTAATTCAGAGATGGTTCTCTGATACTGTAATAAATCAAAGAGAATTTGATTCAGATTGATCTGCAAAACTCCTGCTTCACTCTGACTAGTGCCACATCATCCGGCTTTTGCAATCCAAATGGCACATCAGGGGAAACAGTCTCTGGACGGAATGGCACGTGTGCATGCAATTTTATCCCGCAAACCAGTTATGTATGAACTAGTAATGCTAAGACTGTAGCAGCTGCATAACTGAGCATTTTTTCCTGTTTTCTCTACACTTTTTGTTTAAAGAAAAGTAAATTTAAACTGTTTTCTTTCAAATAGCTTAAAAGGAGGAATCCTAATTTTCCTTATCCAGTTTTCTCAGGTCAGAACAGGAATAAGCAAAACAAGCAGATGATAGTTTCATTTCAGTTACTAAATGACAATGAAAAAGATGTCTTTTTGCTGAAAACACTAGGTAAATCAAGGTACATATTTTTACTACTGTATATGCAGTGTCAATACTTTAGAATTAAGCATGTGTCATTCCCGTAAAACGCAAGGAGAGAGTTAACCACTGTTGTGGCTTATATAAACTACTACTTATCAGTCTACAATGCAACCAAAAAATCTGTTTTGTCCAGGATATTAACAGGCAATTGTTATGTTTGGCAACTTTGTCAAGTTTCTATTATTAAAAGCTTGTCAGTACAATTATTTATGGTGCCAAAAAAACATCCAGGAGGAAAAGTATGGTCTAGAGAGAGATTTTGTTCATTCTCCTTATTCTAGAAAGAAGGGAAGGCTTTTTGTTCCATTCTCTATAATTACACACCCACAGGCAAAAATTATGCTTGAAAGTATTCATTCCCAAAAGAGAAAATTTTAGAAATGTGTAGCAACTGAAACAAAATTTTATAGTGGAAATCTCAAGGTAACTTCAACTACAGCTGTCATTAGTGTGCTGGGTATCATTCCACATTAATAGGGATACTCCCATTATCTCTCTTGAATGAATGTCTCTAAACCAGCTAGATATAACTCAAACACATTTCTAATGAGCCATAGGCAAATCTCATTAGTCTGTAATACTGGCAGAGATAATGAGTAGCCTAGACTCATGCACCGTATTGTCTTGGACAGAGTGTTTTCTTTCAGGCCATAATGCGAGTGGATGTAAATCAGAGGTGTATTAACGCACAGAGGCCTGCTTTTGGATTTGCACTTTTCTTCTAACATGTATTAGCAACCATTCTGACTTGTGAATGCCTTATTTTAATGCAAACAGTACATTTACAGCAGAAGAACTGACATGGTTAATGTAGACAAAATATATATTAAGAAAAAAAGCACCAAACTTTTCAAAAGGACTGACTAAATACAACTAAATAAAATATGTTACTTTTCTGAAGTTATCTGGCTTTAAGTGCAAAGAACAGCATGCCAGAGAAGGAAGGTGGTTTCTTAAAGGAAACATTCTGCTGACTAAAAATTGTGGCAGAAGAAAGGAAGTGTGTTGTCAGAATAGTGAAATCTTCCTCCCTCCTTCCCCAATTTATACTTAAAAAAGTCTCCTTTTGGTGCTAAAAAAAATCTGTTAGTAAGAATCAGCAAGCTTAGGACAGTCCCCTAGCCTTCAGTTTGTTCTGGTCGTGATATTGCTCATTCAGTATTATGGTTTATAATGGACAGACTGAATTGTTGTGTCTTCAGTTGTTTAATTAAAGGTGAACCTCCACAAACACAAAGGTCTTGGTGAGGCTTGGAGGAGCAACGTCAGGCAGAGCAACCTCAGTAACCAAACCATCGAAAAGGGGCTCATGGGACTGTCCATTCGCCAAGGCCACCAGAGAGAGCGGCCAGACCCCGAGCCCGCGTGTGAAACCCGCCCAGATGAGTCAACAAAAGAAAGTGTCCCCAAATGTCACGCGAGCTGAAGGGGCTGTTGCCTGCAGGGGTAGGAGTCACTGCGGGGTGCAGGGAGGAGATGACTTGGAGGGGCTCTGCAAGAACTTCATTTGCAATGTTTTAAGGGGATTGTGGGAGTGCATGAAACACTATGGGGTACTTGGGGAAAGGACTAAAGGTGGGGAAAGGGAGGGATCAAGGTGGACTGGGGTGGAACAAGCATGGAAAGACAAAGAGAAAAGGGGATAAAAGGGGTTGTCTGAGTGTGAAGAGTTGACTGATCATTGTGTTCGTCTGACTGAGCACTGTGCTTGATCTCTGCAGTTTAAGCTATATTCTTCTGAAATCCCATTTCCAACTACCACCTTTGTGGGTGCACTCTCTATTCTGAGTGTGTGTGTGCAATTAGTAGCGAGTTTCCAGCCAGACCAGAGATCATGAGCAACGTAAGAAACCTGAGGACCTGCAAAGAGAATGAATGGGACCCTAAGCCTCAGGGGCTTGTGGGTCCAGGCATCAGGAGCCAGACCAGCTCTGGGGCCAACCACTGTACGAAGCTGTCCAGGAGAGCTCCATGTTGCCTGTGCGCATACTTCTCTAATGGGCTTCAATCCTGAGCACCCCCAGGGAAAAAGAAAAGAAAGAAAAGAAAGAAAAGAAAGAAAAGAAAGAAAAGAAAGAAAAGAAAGAAAAGAAAGAAAAGAAAGAAAAGAAAGAAAAGAAAGAAAAGAAAGAAAAGAAAGAAAAGAAAGAAAAGAAAGAAAAGAAAGAAAAGAAAGAAAAGAAAGAAAAGAAAGAAAAGAAAGAAAAGAAAGAAAAGAAAGAAAAGAAAGAAAAGAAAGAAAAGAAAGAAAAGAAAGAAAAGGGAAAAGAAAAGAGAAAAGAAAAGAGGCAAGGCTGAATAGAAATAGATTTTCCTGTTCTCAGGTTTAATTTCTTATGGACTGTTTTCTTCTGTATTTTCCTGTATTTATTTTTCCTGCTATCAGCTATCAAGAGTAGTCCTTGAAGTTTGGTGCATTAGTGCTTCAATGAGAACTCCACAGGCATTTTTACACAGGGAAGTTATTAATTTATATAATATCTATGAGAAAGTAAATATTTTGAACACTATGTAAATACAGAGACATGACTTTTTGTTTCTTTTACCAAAAAAACTACCAAGAAATGCATCTGAAAAGGCCACCTCAACAGACAAAAGAGACACCAGAGGAGCTCACAGAAAGTTGCAGCAGAGTAGAAGCTGCCATGAAAACCAGAGCACTGAGCAGTCTGATCAAATTAAGGATCAGGACATTGCATTCAGGAATGCAGAAAACAGAACAAACTTCAAACATGCCAAATCTGAAGCGCAGAAATAAGTGGCAAAGAAAAGGTAACATGATCTCAAAAGCCACTAAAAGAAACATATTTGAATTTTTGTGATCAATTCTGTCCTGAGATATTCACTGCAACGTGTAGATAAGCAATTAAGCAGCCAACCTGATGCAGAGCACCGACAATTTTTCGTGCTTCTTGGTAGACTGTCTCAGCACTCCAGTGGCCGTTGATGTTTTTGAGGGCTCTGGCCAGGCGGTTGTGCTCTCTCAGCCACAGCGTGTGCATGGCTGCCAGAGAGGTGACCTCGCTGGATCGGCTGCCCCCAGCCATAAAGCATTCAATCCTCTCACCTTCACTTGCATTCGAGTCTTGTGCACAAGGTGATGGGATCCGGTCTGTAAAAGGCAAGTATTCCCGATGGTTATCGTAATATTTAACGTTTACTCTAAGAAGGCCTTCTTTGCTTGTTAAATTCCTCAGTTTGTTTTCAACAGCATGGGTACTGCCATAGACGGTAGAAGCATCAAGGAAAGAAGTTAAGCCGTTGATCTGTTGTCTTGGATTTAGCGTTGATAGATTTCCAAAAAGAATACCATGATCGCCAGTGCCGCATGCAGGAGATGAGCGGTAGAAAGGCAGGCAATCCATTCCTGCGGATAATGTATCATTGGTGGTCACCTGCATAAAAAAAAAAAAAAATGGGTATTTTCTGAAGTGAAGATAACAGCTGTGGATGTTGAATTAAGGCTTGTGTAAATATTTCCATCCTCTGTCTCAGTTTTCATTTGTTCAGACCTCATCTACTGGAGTAACGTATTCCAAACCTGTAGAGATTGTTTTCCTTTAGATTTAAGCAAAGAGATGATTCAACCCTTTTTAAGCAAGGACAGAAATAAAAACCTTTACTCTGTCATAAGAGCAAGCTACTGATGTAACCCCTTCCGCATAGATCTACGCCTAAATTAGCCTGGCTTCACAATCAAAATTCATCATGAAATGTATCACAGTGAAGACGGGAACATCTGGTCAAATCATGTTCTACTGAAGACTGAGTGAAACAGCAGGTTTACATGTACACATAAAAACACAATGAAGAATTTCAATGTCTGCAGCAGCAGGCTGTAAAAGCTTTGTTTCAATACTTCATTTTAATCCAGTTTCCCAGCTAAAAAGTCATATGTAATTATTCACTCCGCTTTCTGCCAGTCCCCCACAATCCTTCTCCCACATTATTTTACAGGTATAGGTGTCCTACTAAATTCTGACTATCTTTATAAAAAGCATAGGCTGCACATAACCTTTGCCAAATGAAAGACCTCCCAGTCCTTTATCGGTTTGACCCACACATAGGCAAGAGGCCGAGGTCAAATGGTGATCCAGCATTCGTGTGCTAGTCAGCACGAATATAGTCTGAACCAGCCTGTTGCTCAGTCAGCTATTCCAAATATAGCTAAAGGGCGTGGGAGAGACATGTGGGAATTATGGAAGGAGATCTTGGGGTATAGGTAAGACTATTAAGAGAAAATACATCCCAAACCAGACAGCTAGAAGTTTTGTCACAGGAGAGCACTGAAAATGGTATATGAACAACTCAAAAGATGTGGGGAGAGCAGCAGAGATGTTGGAGGAGGCAAGAAAGAAAGAGGGAGAAAGGTTTTGTTCGCATTGTAGGATATCTAAGAGGAAAGCTCGGATGATCAAGTCTATTTCAAAGAACAAAATTCACCACTAAAACAAAAAATGCCATGTTTCAAAATTACTAAAATCTCTCTGTATTGTCTAATGCAGATTTGGCTTTACAAACTCTCTTTTTCTGAAAAGCACATTATTTCCAAATGCTAACAGTACTGCATTGTGCACCAACAATGAGCCATAACAGCCTGTCAGTTCCAAGAGTTTAAAAAAGATTAACCTCAATTAAAAATAACAATCATGGAGTATGAGTTTCAGGGAACCTAGTGTTTTCTTATCAATTGATCAACATGAAGCAGACACAGATAACACTTAATAAAGCTGCTGAAATATCCCAGAAAAAAATAGGCTTAGAAATTTGATTAAGAGAAAATAAATATTTTGTACAGACACCTGAACTAAACCTTCTTATTTGTATTCTATCTGCTAGCTTTTCATTTTTCAAAACATTTTGGCAGAAGACAGTGAATACTGCAGCTGTTATATAAAATGATGTAGTTTCTTCTTCATTCTTATAATAATATAGAGATCAGTCCGTGAAGATAGAAGAGTCATTAAATTCAGGGTAAATGTAACAAGGCAACTTTGGAATGGAATTCCAGAACTTCATATAATAACTTCGTTACTTCATTTACTATACCAAGTATAATTGTCTTACTACTGAGAACTCATGTCAATATGGATTGATACCCACAGAAGCATTTAAGTTAAGAAAGGGTTTCATTTGTTTTTCAAGTTTTCTTTGGTAAAGGAATTTTACCGATATTTTTTCACTACCTAAGTTTTAGCAAATCAAAGTAGGCTATTTTCGAAGGAAATATGTAATTACTTTTCTTTTTTCTTTCTTTCACTGATTGCTGAAATCAGTAATTTGTCTGCCTTGTGTTTTTTATGTAGTATTTGTCTCTATGATTAAGTGTCTTGCTATTAGTGTGGCTTCTTTTTCCCTTCAGCTGGTAATGTAAGCAGAAAGCTTATTTCCTACTACAAATACCTGAACTTGACAGCCACAGCAATGTGTGTGTTTGAGTGCCTCCTGCTTCTAGTTACCAGGAAAACCTGGAAGAATTCAGGTAACACTGGGGAAAAAAAAAAAAAAAAAGTATGAGATGCTTTTAAGTTGTTAAACAGCAAGGCTCACAACAAAACATAACAACAGTGAATGAAGTTCATACTGAATAATCTTTAGTTTAAACTGCCTCTGCAATTTCAATTCAAACCGTTCTGTGCCCCAGCAGAGAAAAACAGCAGTAATGAACATTAAGGGACTGGCAGAACTGCATAATGCAGTCCTTTCCCTTTTCATGGGATAAGTAGTGTGCAGCCAGCAGCTGAATGTGCAAATGAGAGCTTCCTTACGTTATTATTCAAATGACATCAAAAATAATCTGAGGGGGGGAAAAAAAGACCCTTTTCTGCTGAAATGGGTACAGAATCACATTTTTTTCCAAAACTAATGAATAATATTCGTATGAATTTTTTCTTTGCCTTGCATAATTGTAGAGGAAAAAACCTCACAACAAAACCCTCTCTGGCCACAATAGTTTTCTTAGCATAGCTGCACGTTGATTTAAATTGTTATTATATATGCATAGTCAAACGTGTTTATGGTGAAATTTTTTTATGTGTAGGAAAATGAAAGGTACTCATTGTTTCAGTGTACCACAATGTCTAAACTGTTATTTCAGTTAAAGAAAAATCTTTTTTATTGTGAACTTGTTCTGTGGGAAATGACTTTGAAAAAGGATTTTTGGTGTAGATTTAAAAGAAAACCTAGCTTATGGTCTATGAACGTTTGCCAATAAAGAAACCATGGATGTTTATTTGTGGACACGAAACTTGGAGGAGTGTCAATGACCCCACCTGACAGTGAGCTGCGACCCCTGAAACATGGAAGAAAAAGGCAGAGGCTCACTTTGCTGCTTGTTGAGGGCTCACCAATTGATCCATTTGTAGCTGAGACAGTAACCTGTCATGTTACATGTCACCTTTTGCAAATCACCTCACCTTTCTGAATCTCTGCTTCTTTTCCACCTTTCTATATCTTAACTAACTGTCTGAAAGCTTTTCAGGATTGTATCTTACTATGTGTATGTGCCGTGTCTAACTTACTGTCAGCAATGTAATTAATACTGAATGAAGTCAGTAGCTCTCCTATGAAAGTCTAATGCTTCGTTATGTCTCAGCCCTAACCTGAAATAATCATCTGAGGAATGACAGGTTATCTCCACAACCCTGATCCATGTGTCAGGCTGCTGTAAAAGAAGTATAAACTAAAGCCAGTGATCTTTTTGTTTTTCTCCCCCGCCCCCGGGATTCTGAAAAGGTACAGAAAAAGAATGTTCAGCCTCTACCAGAAGCTACAGGCTCCATGTGAGAATCACTGGGTGCAATTCTACAGCCTTTATTATGAAAACATCCAGAATAGAAAATCATAATGGTTCCTGCTAACCTGTGAATCATTTACCTACACTTGTTATTAATATTAATGCACTGCCGCAGCTTTCAGTCCTTCATTGAATTGCACTGACTCAGAGCATTTCCCAGGCAGCCTCCCTCACCTGCGCGGCCAGGAGCTTCCCCTCCCCGCTGAAAGCCCCGGGGAGGGCGTGCGGCTGTGAGCACCCGTGTCCTTGGCCGTGGGTGGATTCTCCCTTGGGTGCCCGCTGTTGTAGGAACACAACAAAAGTGCAAACTGCAGCTTCTGTGTTTACACCGGTGGATAATATGCTATTGATTTCACTGTCTTTGGAAACCAGCCACAGTATCTTCATATTCAAAACGAATGTGTAAAACTAACTGTGGCAGTTTGCCAAATATTTAATAGGTGGAGATTAGTTTTAATTAAGATTTAAGGAAGAAGATCAGTTCTAGGGGGTAGCATTTCATTTCAGTGTTCAAAAAATAGTTCCTCTGGTCACATTAATAATTACAACCCCCCTCCTTTTTTTTACAGTGTCTATTCTTCGCCTTTGGCAAAAACAGTCACAAAATACTAGATATATAATTAAAGCAAAAGAACAATCATCTTCCTGTCTGTCCCTCTAAGCTGTGAATAACAGAATAATAACAGAATGGAACTCAAAAATTCATGGGAGTGGGATCAAGTAATGAATCCACAAGTTGGGAAACTTATCTAATACTTACAGGGTTGTATCTGAATTTCTTTATATGCCCTGCCGCCATGGCCATTCTGAGTATCAGGCATTAACTCCCAAAGGTGACCACAGGTATGCCTGGACCCCCTTCGGCTGCTGGGCTACCCTGCTGAGCAGAACCAGCTCCCAGGCCACATTCAGCGCCACATTTAGTACGGGTACACATAACTTGCCTGCAAGAGCATCCTTGAAACATGCTCTGTGATGAATCTCTTCACAGCTCCAAGATAGAAATCCAAAATATGTCCCCTGTTTAGTGCACTGAAGGGTGCATTTGTGGGTCTATGCCATGGTATTCTGTGCAGCTTCTTTCCCTCTGCACTGTAATGCCACTACCACATGAGTAACGTTAGCCTTGGAGTCCTTTGTAGAAGATGCCTTAAATTGCCTCTTTTTTAAGCAAATGGGATTTCTAGGTTTGAACTAGTGAGGGTTCAGTGATTAGACTTCTGTGGTCCCTGTGATCCACATTTGATTCAAGTTATGGGTAACACTATAAGTTTATTTTCAATTTAAAGATCTATTTAGTAATAAAAAAATGTGAGGTTTTTGCACTTAAAGATCAATACTAATTGTGTTGTTTCAAAGAAAATGTCATAGACATAAGCTTTTGAAGACTTTTGCAGTTTTATATCTACAGCAAACTGACTTTTTAAAAATGGGAGTCAATACGTACCCACATTGTATCATACGATGGAGACGCACTCCACCTCCTTCATGACATCATGTGAAGCACTGCTGGGCAGCAGCTGGACTTTTGCCCTAGCCTCTCTAGATAAGACTTTGGGAATGAGAAGTTTCTAAGGCTATTACTTAACAGCATAAACGGAATAAATAATTTCTTGCCTCAGATGGCAATTTGAGACATAGTAAACTAGAGATTTTTGCAGAACCATGAAAGACTCATTGTAATTAGGGTTGTTGTGGCTAAACCAGGTTAGCCGGGCACTCACTGTCCTGAGAATATGATTCTTTAAGAAGTCTGTGGTCTTTCTGAATGATCCCAAGCTTTGCTTGCAAACTTTCAAAAGTCTGTATCTTCTGGGTGAGAGAGACTGGATTTATCTGTCTGTGGTAAAATTGCAGGCAGTCATTAATTTCACTTAGTTTTTCCTGTGTTTTAGATTCTCTCACCAAATAGATGAGCCATCTTTCAACACAGGACCCGGTTCAGTTCCCATTACAGTTAGCCGAATATTTTCCTTTATGTTTAATGGAAGTGGAATGAGGCACTTAAGGCAAAAGGAGATTGTGGCATAGTTATGAATTATGGTTTGTGGAGGGGAAAAGAGTTTTCTACCCTGATGGAATTTGTTCCCTACATTGGCTTCAGTGCATAGAGAAGCTGGTCAGTAATCCAGCTCCAACCCCGAGGCAAGTAATTTGGATTGCTCTGGATAGAGGTGGGAGCATCAGTCCAAGGGCTGTAATGGGCACGGGGCTCTTCTGTAGCATGAGATGGACAAGCTGCGCTTTGAGAAACAAAAAAGTTCTTTAATTGTTACTTATTTTTTTGTGTGAAAGACTGACTATACTTTTAAATTAATCAGACAAGAATACAGGATCCTGTACTTATACCAATTTATGTTTCTTCTAAGCCTCTAACAAACTTTGAATTCATGTTTTCTACCTACTGAAAGCAAAGAGGTGATGTACGTAAGTTGCAGCAACTCCCTGAAGATCATTTTATACCTACGTTGAAAAGATAGCTCTCTTCAAAAGTTTGCATTAGCTGCTGGAAATATCTTTGCTTTCACTGAGTAAAGGTAAGATCCTTTCACTTTATCTGGCTGGCAATTTAAAAACAGAATTATTTATGACTGCTTCCCTATTTTCCCCAATGGAACTCAAAGCCTTGAAGCATGAGAACAGTAACATTGGGGGGCACTAGTAAGGTTTCTCTGCAACACAAACCCGAGAGGTAGAAAAATTTGATATTTGTTCTAAGTACCTTAGCTATATTTTGTTATCTCTACAAAACAATTTAAATATCTACCTGTTTAATTTAATAGTTGTATTGGGTTTCAATTTTTCTATCGCTGTCTGCTCTAATATTTCTGGATAATCTATCAATTTGCATTATAATTACTTCAGTGTATATGTATCACTAATGTGTTTTATTTTACTCACCTGTTTCTCTTGAAGAAATTAATTTAGAACCTTACCTTTATTGGAAAACATGGATTTTGTTTTTCGCATGTCATCTGGCACTCCATTCCATTGAGGAAGGTGGTTCTACTGGTGCTCTGGGGTGTGAACGCAATGTCATGGTCTATGTACTGTCCCCATACCATAATAATATCAGAATACAGGTCGTCTTCAGTAACAGCCTCATTAGACGCATGAATAATTTTCCTTGTCACTTCACGAACCTGGGAAGAGAACTAATTTACCTTGAGTGCCAAGCAGTATTTACTTCTCACAAAATGATGAAACATTAAAAGTAGGGGGAGCAGTGATAAAAGCTAGCTTTTTTTTTTCCAGCCTTAAGAACACTTTATGTTGTAGAGTAGTTTTAATGATTTGCCTAAAAACAAAACAAAACAAAATCCCAACAACAACAAAAAAAGCAATATCTGACAGACTCGTATTTTTGTTCCGGAGCTGAGGCACCGGTGCCACAAGCAGTTTCAAAGGTGTTTCAGCTGAGTTTTTCTATATATTTGCCAAATGAGCAGTGTATCTTTGATCTCTTCCTTTCCAGAGAATTTTGAAAACCGCACGTTTCTTTTAGACTGTCTAAAAGTTTTCTATTTATTCTGTTTTCTGCTCCTTTAACAAATGGATTCCGTTTGCTGGGCAACCTCAAATCACTGTGGATACACAGAGGCTCTGGGCTGCTCCGTACGTAAACGGAGCAGCTTATGCAGCCCAGGAGACAAGCTAGGTTGCAAATACATGGTAGCTGAAAGCTCTGCTTCATTTTCCCAGGCAGGGAGAAGCCAAAACATATTTCTGAGGCACTTCTGTGAAAGCTACATAGACATACAGATGCTCTGAGGGAGAACACATGGAGACATCTATGCTACATGTCCAGCCTATACTAATAGCCAAGCAAAACCGTCAGAGCAAAATCAGCAGTCAGTTTGTGACGATTAGGGTATCGTTATTATTCACAGATTCCTCCCTCGTGCTGCAAAATATTCCCTCACATACAGGAGCTACCTAGAAGTCAAGCAATTGAAAGGGCAGCACATAAAATAGAGTCACAGGGTCTGTAATAAATATAAGGGCTATATAATGAATGTATAAGGCAGGTGCAGTTAAATAGAATTGGTAAGGACAAGAGGCAACATGGGACTTGTTTGGAACATCGGGCTTTATATTGAAATAGTCAAGAGCAGAGATACATAGAGCTTATCAGGAGTACAACTCTTTATATCAGTAGTTTAATAGCTTTGCTGGCCACAAAGCACAAAATTTTTTCTTGCAGTTAGTAAGATTTTCTTATCACTGTTAACCTGCACAGCTACGCTGTGTTCTAATATTACTTTATAGTAATCCTCACACTTATCTCTCACCTTCGTACTATTTGCATGTTGCTTTTTAAAGGATATAGTTGGATAGCTAAAAGTATAAAAAAAGACAACTATGTAAATGAGGAAAAACATCTATGGGGCTAGTTTTATCCTATCTTACTTCAAAATAACGCAGAGAACTTTGCTGATGGTCAGATATGATCAGATTTGGTGCAGTCATATAGTTTTGTTTTAGTGTGTTTTACTTCACAAGCATGTACCCTAATGAATCTAGAAAAAGACAGTTTGTATTATCTACTGGAAATTTACCTGTGTAAATGTCAGGTTTTCATCTTTAAGCGCTATATTACGCAGCTTACAGACAATGTTATTTAATTAATAACATGAGTTTCAGGTGACATTAACACTAAATTCTCTTCCTCATCCTTATTAAACATACAGTGGTTAAAATAACAAGACTTTGAGTCCATTAAAAGTCAAGTTTCAAACCGATGATGACAAAACAGAAACAGTAAATCCAGTCTAAATCATTGCACACTGCACTAGGGAATTTTTCACCCAGTTGCCTATGCAAATATTTTTTGTTCAAACTCTCCTCTTGCAGCTCTGCTATTTTTTAAGTATATGAACTGTTAAAATCTATAAATATTGCAAGGCTTTCTTAGCTCATTAACTTGGGCTAGCTAAAAAATGAAGTTATGATTTGATAGTAATACTTGTTTAGTTAAGGTACGCTAATCTAGGAGAAATGGTACACATGCGTACACAGACATGCATGCTAGTACGCCTACGTACTTTATATTTATTTAGTTGCCGCCCAACCCTGTTTTCCCCCTCCTCCTTCCCTGAATAAAGGCACCACTATCGAAAGAAAGAATCATAAAATCAATGGAAAATCTAGGATGGAAGGAAACTCTGGAGACCACATGGTGCAGTTTCCTACTGAAAGCAATGTTTAGGTTATTCAGAGCCCCATCAAGCCAAGTCTTGGATATTTCCCAAGAGGGATATTCCAGCAGTTCTCTAGGCAGCCTATTCCAACATTTCATTGTTCTCACAACAATTATTTTTTTTTTTCTTGTTTCAAGACAAAATTTCCCCTGGAGCAACTCGTGATGATTGCCTCTTGCCACATCAGTGTGCGTTCTTGTGAAGACCTCCCTCTTCTCTGTAAAGGTCTTTTCAGCGTGGGAGGGCTGTGACTGGGTCCACCCTGCATCGCCTTTTCTGTAGGCTGAGCCATCACCACCCCACATCTGCTGGCTGCCCTACACCTGGTGCAAGCCAGGCCAGGCACACACTGGCTCATGCCCTGCCTGCTCCCCAACACAGTCCTTTTTTGGCAGAGCTGCCCCCCAAGGCAGTCCATGCCGCCCTGCACTGCTCCATGGTCTTATGCTAGCCCAGGGTGCAGGGGACCTCTCACTATTTTGCTGATTGAGCTTGTGTTTTAGCAAAACTACTGGGTCCTTAACTGAGCTCAACAGATTCTTTTGCTGTTTGATTTGCTGATGCAAATGGAGGTCTGTGGTGGCAGGTATGGTTACAGCCCAGTGTAAGTGTTTCAAGTGATCTCATGGTACGTTTTCTAACCGAGGGTAGTTGGACTCCGTTGTATCGGATGCTGGGGTCCCATCCTCGAGGTTGGCTGAGTCCATCTTCATAGGCTGGTGGAAGCCACCTTGCCAAGGCTATGTTGGATGCTCCCCATCTAGGATGTTCCCTGGGAAAATAAAAAAACAAAAACAAAAAACCCCAAGAACAGCAGCAAAAAAAAATAATCCTGCACCTCTGAATATATTCTCAATAGAAAATATTTATATATTTTATAATATATTTGCAATATTCTGAATATAAAATAGTCTGAATATAAAATGACATAAAGTAAAATAATCATCAGCTACAGAGCAATATTCCATTGCAATAAAATATTCATGCAATGGTCTTTGAAAAAGCATCAAATACTGGTCTTCATGTATGCCAACATCCATTTGACTTGGAAGGAAAATAAAGAAAAATTAAGTTACTAATGAAATATTACTATCTTAATTATGTTTATAATGCAAGTTGGTTACCTTTTGACATCTTTGAAATACTTGCCCTGATGCTGATTTCCTGATAGTGTCCTCATTCCCCGTGAAGTCAGATATACTCTTAAGGGCCTTTGCTGGCATCTTTTAAAAGATGTTTGTTTAGTGTAATAGCTAGGAACTCAAGATTTAGGAAAATATAAAGAAGTCCTAGAATAAAGGTCAAGAAAGTTTAAAAGAAAAACGGTTACTAGTCATACAGAAGTAATCCTTTAGCAAGACCCAAGGAGAAAGGACTGAGGAAAGGAGAATGATGGCTGAAGTTGCTGAATTCAGTGGCAACGATCCCTCTCGTTGCATCTATACTCGTTACTTGGGTATAGCTTTGGCAGGGCCTATGCACAAGCCCAAGCACTGGTATGCCTTTAACTATGCTTTTAAGCTGCTAACACTAACTGCAGCGTGTTTTTGGCTCACACCAACTAGCATTTCTCTGAATGACATCTGGCTGGGCACACCTTGGGATTAGTGCATGCCAGTTTGTCATCCTGCAGCCAGCCTGCTTGGAAGAGGGAACGGGAGTAAAAAAAGCTTAGACAAAATTCTAAGAGAAAAAGGGTGGCAAGAGTCAGGTCATACTTCATTTGAAGGCCAGTAAATGATTCCTGGTGATTTTTAAGTCTAGTCAGTGAGTCTTGGGCTTGACCCAATTAGTTTTCCTTCAATCATGAACATTTTTAATGCATTTTTTCCTAATAGAATATTTTAGAGTTTTGTTTGTTTGGTTGGTTGTTTTTTGTAACATGGCCTGTTTAATAAATTTCATAATTGTTAAATATATATAGACATTAAAAAGAAGAAATAAATTTTTTGCAATGTACCCAGTTGACCAAAATTCTAAAGTAAGCCACAAAGAACAAGAAATATTTCCAGACAGTTAGTAGAACTACATGCTGTTAAAACATACATTTATATGTCTATTGGGATGCTAAAGAGGGAACAATTATTTTATTAATACTTCATTGATCTCCAGCACACTGAAGTGGCTCAATTTGCCAAGCTATATGGTACAGTAATACACTTAATTATCCACAATAATTCACACTTGAAGGTTGAAGTATGCTTTAATAAAGCATTCAAATTAGTTACAGTTGATTTGCCTTTATTGAAATTGCATAAAATATTGCACATAGTGTAGTGCTATTTCACTCAATTAAAAATAATGAAATGTTAATTTAACTGCTTAAGCAGTGATTTTTCTCCTGATTGCTTTTATATTTTAGCAGATCACTGGAATGTTACTTTAGTAAAACCCTTCTCACATGCCTTTTTATTATTACATTAAACATGTTAATGTCTTGGAATTTTGTTTGAGTTAAAAAGTTTTTTATCCAGGGCAGCTGAAATAATGAGATTTTGGTACCATACAGCTTTATAAAGTAGTCAGATTTGATTACTACACATTCTGTTTATGGGAAGTGGGACTTTCCATTCACTTGTAAAATACTGATATTGCACAATTTGGATTTTTTTTTTTTTTGGTTCCCTTAGAAGGAACCTGAAGTTTTAAGGCACAGTTCACTATCCAGATTTATGTCTTTTGAATGTTATTTAATGTCCTGCCTAGTTTCACGTAGAAAGAATGAATGCCATATGGCAATTTAATAATTGGATTTTATCATGTTTTACTTCACTCTGAGCTACCATGGACATAACTTCTGGCAAACATGGAAAAGTTCTGAAAACTAAGCCTGCCACTAAACTGAACACTTAGCTTGTATTGAAGTGAAGCAACTGTCCTAAAGGAGACATCTCAATTCCTTCTTATACTGCGTGGATTCAGTTGGGACTGCTCATTCTTCCCAGTAGGTGAGCCATATTCATACCCCTAACTCTGATGGTATTAGATCTTCAGACTAAGCATCAGGTCCTTATCTGATTAAATGGTTAATGACACAGCAACGAAATAGAAACATTGCAGATAAAGTTCCTCCTAGCTGCCCAAATATCAGGCATAAAAATGTAATCTAGTCATCTAAGCACCTCTTCATCAAGTCAGAGAGACAGACAACTCCTGATTGCCATCCTGGCATCCCATCATCCCATCCTATCTCTCATTATTAGGAACAGCCAAAGCTTCAACCTTGCAGTAAACATGCAACCACCTCAGAAGGCTGAGATTAGGTGAGGTTAATTACACTGTGAGATTCCATTCTTTCAGTGCCTGTAATTCCTTCACCTTCGAATCCTTCTCATTGCACTGAACACTAAAAACTACACAGATCAATGCCAGTTAGTTGGATAAAATATGAGGGGGGGAAAAAAGCTATTTGGATGTGCCTTTTCTCCCTTACTTTTCATTAAAAAGTAATGTTTTAAACTTATTTTGCTTATTATCCACACATATGCCTTCAGGCAGAAAGAAAATTAAAATCTATTGATATCTATTACTAGTAAACATGGATAATGATACTGCTGCGAATGTCTGATGTCATGTTGATGTTGTCCATAGAAGGCCATATTTATGCTATTCTGTTACACCTTTGTTCTAGGAAGTTCACACTAAAACAAAGTAATCTTGGTGCTGTGGAATAAATACTTCGTAATCTAGCTGATTTGTCCCAAATACATGAAGTGATTAAGCATCTGTAAAGAAATTTCACTCTCAATTTTAAATATATTTAAATAGCTTTTTCTTATAGGTAAACAATTCCACTGTGAATTTTGTTCTTAAATGTCACCTATGAAATGCAGCATTTACTGATGTACAGCACAGCTGCACATTCCTACTGGGTGACTAAAATTACAAATACAACACAGGTCCTGATATATTTTCCGCCTGAAAGTGGCAGCTGTAAAGCAAAGAGAAGTACAGACTGGTATTTTGTTTAATGTTTGAAGTCTCTGAAGCTGGTTTACATCATAGAATATGTTGTTTACTTTATAGTAATGGTCTTTTATTACTACAGTAATAGGCCTTTTAAAGTGATATATTTCAGTAAAGCTTGAGGTATTTCAAGGGGCTCACAAGGTTTTAGACTAAGCTAAGATCTGACTCGTTGGTTTCAAAGTCTTTATTTTTGTTTTTTTTCTTTTTTTTTTTCTTTTTGGTTCCTTGCACCTTTTACAGATGTTTAGAACAAAGAGTCTAAAATATCACCAAATTCGAGTGATGGGTTTAAACACTGGTTTGATGCAAACATAAAACTATATAAAGTAGAACACAATGACTACAGACTGACTAGACTCAATGGATCATATCTACCCTACGTAATTTTAGAAACCGGACTGAAATGCCTGTACACATCCCAGTATTACTAGAGTCACTGAAGAGAAAAAGATGTTTTACGTTACCCACAGCAGAGTGTGTTTCTCTCCGTCTCTGGAGAGAAAGACTACGGCAGCCGTGCCTGCAAATTAAGAGCTTCAACCATGTGCCTGTGTTCAGCTGTGAATCTTGACCAATGTGTTCAAGCCCTGATGGAGTTGTCAGTGCAAATATTATACTAGCTTTTAGTTCAGATTCCAAGCAACTCTGCAAGTGCCTGGGAGAAATTTTAGGTAACCACACAGATTTATAACATCGATGCATACCAGGTTGTGTCCTTTCAACAAAGAGCCTATCAGGCATGTTCCTTGCAAATGACTTGTGATGTAGCAAAACAGATTCATCTTGCAAAACCAGACTGAATAATAAAACTGCAGAATTTTACTGCTGTTCATTCACTAGGTTGCAGAATGCCTTAACCTGTGCAACGCTAATGGCCTTCCACTTACAGCTCTGTAGATCTTCACTTGTAACGCTACCATCTGCCATTCAGTTTGTGACTTTACGCCTGTGTATCCAAAGGCTGCTGAGTATAAACACCATTTATCCTTGTACTCAAAAGGGCTCTTGTTCTAAGTTTCACACCCTCATTGCATTGAAGAGTTCTGAAAACCAGTTACATCTGTTATGTTGGGTGTTGCAGAAACAATTGCCACATATATTAGGTAACAAGTAGATAATAGTAGTTGTTCAGAGAGCCAATAAGCTTATATTTATATAAATAGATATATAAAAAGATATGTCACCCAGAATTTTTAGATGCATGCTTGCTAAATGTTAAGGCTGTGGGAAAATACAAAAATGAGAACCTGCTTGATTTTCTTATTGCTGCTTGTGAAGTAATTCTATTTTCCTGTTCAATATCTTTTTATACCATTCAATCAAAAATGAATGCCGGGTTAGAATTCAGTCTGTTTAATTTATATAGAAAAAGGCATCTACTGAATCATTCCTCCCTAAATTTAAGGTTCCTTACGTAACCTTAAAAGCCTTCATAGAGAGAGCCTAAATAGTGTACCAAAGTTTAGATGAAGAGGTACTTTCCCTGGGAGTTTTCAGAGGCCATGCATTCAGAGGCACCATACATTCTCCTGAGGGATATGAGTCAGATGAAAAGTAAAGTCAGGACCCTGAATTTTAGGAAAGCAAAATTCCAGCTGTTCAAGGAGTCAGTCAATAGGACCCCCTGGGAAATTGCTCTCAGAGACAAGGGACCAGAACAGAGCTGGCTGATGTTTAAGGATGCCTTCCACAGAGCACAGGAGCTCTCGATCCCCAGGTATATGAAGTGAGGAAAGGAAGGCAAGAGACCGGCATGGCTGAGTTGAGACCTGCTGGTCAAACTAAAGGGCGAGAAGGAAATGCACAGGCAGTGGAAGCAGGGACTGGTATCCTGGGAAGAGTGCAGGGACACTGCCCGGTTGTGTAGGGATGGGGTCAGGAAGGCCAAGAAACAGCTGGAGCTGAACTTGGCGAGGGATGCAAAGAATAATAAGAAGGGCTTCTCTAGGTGTGTCAGTCAGAAAAGGAAGGTCAAAGAAAGTGTATACCCCCGCCCCCCCGCCCCAACGCGCAAACTGGTAACAACAGATGAGAAAGCGGCTGAGCTACTCAGCAAATTTTTGCCTCAGTCTTCACTGGCAATCTCTCTTCCCACACCTCTTGAGCGGTTGGACCTCAAGGCAGGGACTGGGAGAGCAAAGTCCCTCCCACTGTAAGAGATCAGGTTCGAGACTACCTGAGGAACCTGAACATACATAGGTCTATTGGACC